CATGCTGGTTCCGTGTCTATTCCGTGTGTGTCCGTATATCTCCATGTTTTGCTACGTGTATTTACATACCTTTGCGTATGCCCTTTTCTTATAGGGTAAAGGTTACGCACGTGCGTAAGTCATATTACACGTACACGCTCCTTTTTATAAAATATAATTTCTGAATTTAAATTTGATTGGTGCCAGCTGGAGCACCATAGCGTCGCCAAGTACCCTGCACCACCAATCCTTTGCCCTCAGTCGCATCAACTTAATTATAAACATATTCTTTGCATGTTAAAAAATATTATATATATGCGTATAACCTGTCAACTTGGATTGAAAACAGTATTAGATGTTTTTTATTAAAACATTAAATTCATTAACTGACTACTTCTTTTTCTTTGACAAGGCAAGACTTATTATTGATCCGGGAATTCTTTTATCAAAGTCTCAATGGAATGGAAGTGATTTCCTTCGTCTAAATCTCGCGTGACGGAAATAGCTTTGATTGTAATTCATAAAAAAAATGGGGATTCCTTTATCCAAATCTCGGAGAGAAGGAAGCAATTTTGTTCGTCTAGATATCGACGGAATGGAAATAATTTCCTTTGTCTAAATCTTGACAAAACAGAAATAATTTCGATTATAACTCATAAAAAAAAAATGGGGATCTCTTTATCTAAATCTCGGCAGGATGGAAATGATTTTAAAATTTGATGAGAAGTTTGGTGACAACTTTCTAGCAGAATGGATCGTAACCCATAGGAAAAAATGGGTATTCATTTATCTAAATCTCGGCATAATTTTGATTGTAACTCAAAAAAAAAAGGGGATTTCTTTATCCAAATCTCGAAGAGATAGAAATAATTTTGTTCGTTTAAATATCAATGGAATGGAAATCATTTCTTTTGTCTAAATCTCGACGTGATAGAAATAATTTCGATTATAACTCATAAAAAAGTAATGGATATTTTTTTATCTAAATCTTGACGGGATGGAAATGATTTTAAAATTTGATGAGAAGTGTAACCCATAAAAAAATGGGAGTGTTTTTATCAAAGTCTCGGCGGGATGAGAGTTTGGTGACAACTTTCTAGGTAAATCATAGAAAAGATGGGATTCCTTTATCTAAGTATCGACAGAATGGAAATAGTAAATCATAGAAAAGATGGGATTCCTTTATCTAAATATCGACAGAATGGAAATGATTTCGAAGTTTGGTGATAAGATGATAAGAACAAAGTTCTTTTCGGACCAAAACAGTACATCTCGCCAACCTTTTATAACCCGTGGAAGATCAAAATCACGTCAGACCAACGTTGGATCTTAAATTGTTGACATAAATTTATTCTTCTACAAAATCTATCAAATTGGGTAAAACTAGTTTTAGCCTAATAATCTTTTTTTAAGTATCGCTTTGAATTTTTAATAATGGTAGATCTCCAACTTCACTCGGAGGAAAGTTTTAATTAGGGGGGCAAGAATTTGTGAATCATTTATGTTAATAATATATTAGATAAAAATTTTTTACAGATTGTAACCTTTCTATAAATTTTTATATAAAAAAAATAAAATTTTTTTTAAATTTTGCAAAATTTGACTGGCCTGTTTGTGAGAAACAATTAAATTTGATTATTTTTTAAAAAATTTTTTGTCTTTGTTATATACATCTAATTCTGATATCCGATATTTATTAAATTTAAATTATGAAACTAATATGATGATTCGAAATTTTTGTAGAGTTGTAAGATTTGACAGTATCTGTAAAAAACGCCGTGAGGCAAAGCAAAATAAAAAAATTTTTTTTAATAAAAACATATATAGTGAAAAACTAATAATATTAAGTGAAAAGATAATTTATTATGTGGTGGGATTTCTAGAATCTTATAGTTTGATTTCAAAACTAACGCCGCATCTAAAATATCAAACAAAAATAATAAATATTAGATCACTCCGAAAAAAAATAATAATAAATGTAATGGACCAACATGAGATAAGATTAGTGTAAGGTAGACTACGATGAAAATAACTTTGTATTATATATTTATAAATGCTACCTCTTGTTGAAGCACAAGATAACATATTTGCACCTAAATTATACCAGTCATGTTGGTTCTGATAATAACTTACCCACAACCAGATGCAGCTTGAGGATTGTCTACAACTTGAAATTGCGAACCGATCAATTCTTCAGTATAATCTAATTTTGAACCTTTAATCATCCCTAAAGAGATTGCATCTACTATTACTTTCGCACCATTTTTCTCAAAAACACTAAGAATAGATCAGATGATTGATAAATTTGAGTACTTCAAGCATAGTAAGATTTTATTAAAACAAAAAAAAAACGTACACATCATCCTCTTTGATAGCATTCGAATCCATTAGATCGTAAAAATATTGAAAACCATGACACCCGCCAGAATCAACAGCTATTCTTAATGCATTATTCCTACTTTTTTCACGCTGTGCTATAAAATTAAGTTGCTAGATATAGTTTTCACGAAAAGACAGAAAGCATATTTAATTATTTCATTAAACCAGGAAAAAAAAAAAAAAGGACTAAAACAAAAATTGCTAGGATCTATTTACTTTAATAGCTCGATCTGTAATTTCGAATTTCATATCAGTTCCTTTATCATTGTCGAAAGAAACAGACGAAGCCCCCGATAAAAAGCGAAACCTTTGACGAAATATGTAACCTCTGGTGAAAGCTGAAATCTCTGAAACCCTAATGAAAGGCGAAGCCTTAAGAAAAATAAAAGGCCGAGCTATAGTTGTAGACGAAACCATTTTTCCATGATGTTGAAAGCTAAAACTAAAATCATTGAAAAATAGTATTCATGTCAAACCTGGAAAAAAAAATAGATGACTAATATGACTAATATGACTAATTAGAGTTAGCCTATCACAGTACAGCAGTATCAGATATAATAAATAATTTTCCGACCTGCATTGATTATTGACCGATCAGTTAACGTTAAAATTTTAAAATGTCATAAGCGATAATAACAATATTAGGTCATACAAAGTTAATTTCTTGGTTTGATAAAGTGAAATTTTAAAACAGACTGGTCGCCAAATTTTGTGTTTTATATATATAAATTTTTTAAAAATCTACCCAGTTATTACAAATATTATCATAAGTCCAGGGACAACAGCCGAATCCGATAGCTTATCGTTGACAATCTTTTTCAGTTGTCCCGACTGGGTTATGAAAGCCAATTAATTTTTTATTGCCTAATGCTAAGCTTACCAAATAAGCTTTTTTTTTTCAAGTAAATTTATATCGATATGTGTATTTATAAGATAGGCCTTCTTTTTTTGTTTGATAAGACTTCACTTTGTTTAGACTCGTCTCATATTTCAGATTCACGGTTCTTTTTAATCATTTTTAACATTATACGTTTTTATATATATAGAAAGGATTTAACAAATTCTCTTTCCCTATCACTATCAATTCTTCAATTTTATCAGTTCAATAAAAATCCGGAACGAAATAAAAAAATTGGAGAATGACAAAGAGGAACATTTACAGGAAAAAATTTTTTTCTTTTTTTTTTTTTTACTATCTTGATGTAATTATTTTTAAAGGCAGGCGTGAATTTTGAGTATGATTAGGATAAAGAGTAAATCTTTCATGAGACATTATATTTTACGTAGTATACATGTTATAGTTTTTAGTGATAAATTTATCAAATTTATTGAAATGGATTGTATTTTGAACATGAAACGAAATAAAATAAATACTGAATAAAATAAAAATAATTAAAAATGTCCTGGATACGTCAAGATTTGGACTAATATCATCTCCATCGGAATTCAAAAAAAGAAAAAATTTATAAGTTCATCATAATCGTCAATGCAATATATTCACCACAGGCTTCCGCGCGAAGCTAGATCGAACTTTTTGAATTAAACATAACAGAGAAGGACGTTCACAGGTATTCCTGAGGTCACGATGTGCTTCCAGTTCTCCGATGTAACCCTAGTGGCAGTTATATAAGGGAGAAATTCTTCTATCCGATAAGAGGATCAAATCCTCAGCACCTTTGGTTACCCAGAAACATATATAAAAAGATATGCGATGGGGTAGCCGGCTCCATCAATTTCTAGATGGTTTCTTTAATACCACCACTCCTTTAGAACTAAAAATCATTATTTTGAAGTTCTAAATTCGTAACAGTATTGTTTCTACAAAAGTCTTTGGTTATTTGTTCATAAATAATTCCATTGACTTTTAATTAAAAATTAAGATTCGTTGCATCTTATTATTGTCTTTTTTCATTTATCATTTATGTAAATTTAGTTTGTTTGAGTTTAAGTTTGTTAAAAAACTATTCCATATCGTTGTATTCATCCATGTTACCGGTAAATAATATTTAATAAATGGTTTGAGTTTATTGGTACCTGGCCGATCAAGCACGAAAAATTTTTTAAAGTAAATTTAAGAAAAGTTAGAAAGTCTTATATTTAATATTGTGTATCATATTGTGTTCGACTACGACGACAGTAACGTTAGATTCTTGGTTAAGAAAAAAACGAAAGAATTATATTTAATATTAAAAATGAAGTTTGAGGTTTCTATTTGACCTGTATTTTTCGGTGGCTTGCCTATTTTACTATCTTTATATAAAATTTCTTTAACCTTATTTCTCATATTTAACATATACTATCATTGCTAGAAACCTGCACGGGCCGAACCGGGCTGTGCGGCTGGCAAAAAATAATAACAATAATTTTATCAGACTTCTAATCATTACTCTTACCAGTATTTTTCTGGAGAAAAATCGTTTAGAGAACACTTATTTTACACGTTCTTCAATTAGAGACAAGGAGGACGTGGCAAAATTGCAGAATTCAGCCATATACGTTAATAGAACAATTTAACACATGAAAACAGATTTCGCTGTTCTTATCGATTAATATTACGTATAATACTGCAATTCCTAAATTAGCTGATCAAAGCTATACATAATATTGAAGTGAAACTAAAAAAAAACTTTACAGCTGTTTTCATAAATTTTGGGACATCTGGTCAAAAAATTGTCCGAATGTTTGGCCGGCCAGTTCGATAAGTTTATGATTTTGACATTTTCAAAGTATATTCGTTATTGCTTCAGATAAGTTGGATATTTCAGATTCAACTGTAGCTACTACAGACGAGTTAAATGTTTCTATAGATTTACTATAGACGAACAAGCTAAAGGCTCCTTAGTTGTTAGATCAACCGTTTCAATAATTTCATCTGATTCGTTCTACAGTATTCGTTATAACTTAAATTAAACATTTTGAATAAAATAATACATAAATTTTTGCTTAATAAAATCTTGGTTGTTTGGAATTTCCTAGTCCAGTCAATAAATTTGTTCTGACTTTTTTTTTTTTTAATAACGTTTACTTATGTAATATATTTATTATGATTATTCGGAACCTTTTTTATATTTAGTATTAAGATCTGTTGGTAGGCAAGAACAATCATCGCCATAAAGGCTAAACATACATACTGGACATGCATTCAAACGAAAACTTTTAATTTTAAATGTGTTGACATTGTAGTTCAGAGTATTATCGCTATATTAAAATCAGTGTTGGCTTGACCAGACCAGTTTGACTATTGGACCAGACCAATTTGACCGGTCCGGTCAAAGGATCTGTACTGGTCAAATTGGTCAAATAGTATATTTAAATATAGTTTATTATATAATGTATATATATATTTATATAATTGATTTGACCAATTTGACCAGTTCGACCATTTGACCAATTTGACCAGACCAATTGGACCAGTAAAATTTTGGTCGACTATCATGCCCAAATCACTGACGAATCTAAACTTATCGAAGCGGCCAAATATTATTCGGTCAATTTTTCACCAGATGTCCCAAAATTTACGAAATAGCTGTAAAAATCTCTCAAATTGTGAGCCTGATGTGTCAATAATATAGTGAAAAGTATAGTTATAAACCTGAATAGCATATTTTAAACACTAATAAACTTCCTTTATAGCCACGTACAATAAAGCAGACAAATGAGATTAAAAATAACTAATAGTCATTAATTCTAATTACGCCATTTATGCAACGCGGTCATGTATATACCCAGCACTACAAATTTCTGGGAACTCGATCAGCCTGTAATAGTACTCATACATATATGTGTCAACCTGATCTAGAATAAACAAAATTCAAATGTTGCATGTATTTACTGACTTAGCTGTTTCTTTTTTTGGATTTGTGTATTTATTTTATCTTACTTTTTTAGATTCATGTTTTTATTTTGATACTATTTTGGATTGTTTACTTGTTAAATAATAAATTTTTTTACATGTTTATTTTATGAGATTTTTTATATATAAAGGCATGAAAAATCCCTCTATAAACTTCATGGTTTGAATAATATATTTTTGTATTAAAAAAGAAAGTTAAATATTTTTAATGCTACAATGCCAAAAGAATTTAACCACTTTCAACCTGAAACTCTACCTAAATACTAAAGAAATAAAAGGAAATTTTGTATATAATAAAAAGATAAGTATAAATAATTTATATAATTTTAACAATTATGAAGTATTGGTATATTATTATTTTAAAATACTAATAAAATAAATTTATATTTTTTTTATTTTATAATATAAAATAGTAAAACCATATCTGGGCTGAAAGTGGTTTAAATTCAAATAATTGGCATTAATAAAAATATCTAAAAATCTTTCTTTATATAAATACAAAAATTGAATTCAAATCATCATTTATGCATGGCATGCCATAAATACAAGTTACCTTTTTATAATAAATAATTTGGCAAAAAGATTTTCTTAAATATAAAATACTCTCATTGTGAACCTCTTAATATAGTGAATTAAAGACTCTCAAAATAAAAAAGAAAATCTTAAAGCCAAATTATTCAATTATAAATAATCAACTTGTATTGAGAGTCAAATTATTATAGTAAATTTGCTATAATAAAAAATTCACTATAATGAGAGAGAGTATTATAAAAGGTTCACTACAATGAGAGTATTATAAAAGAGGTTCAATATTGCATGCATATTTTTATTTATTGGCGATTGCCAAATTACGCACTATTCGTTAGGAGCTTAGTGTAACAAGCATAGTTTCCGATAATAACTGCACCTGCATAATTTAGGATGCTGTATAACCGCTGTAAATAAACAGTATCGGTAAATTGTATCCATTTTTTTTTTGATCAAAAATGTCCAACGAAAATTTGACCGAATTAATTGACGGATTCAGCAAACTGAATTTTTCAGATTGTCAAAAATCAGCCGATACGAACGATCCAGACGGAATTTTCTGGCTCGGTTATTGTTACGAATATGGAATTGGAGTAGAAAAGGATGAAAAAAAAGCATTCACGCATTATCAAAAATCGGCAGACATGAATAATTCTAACGGAATGTATAAAGTTGGTTATTGTTATAATTTAGGAATTGGCGTCGAAATCGATAAGCAAAAAGCGTTTTCATATTATCTGAAATCCGCCGAGGCGGGTAATTCCAATGGAATTTGGAAAACTGCCATTTGTTACCGTTATGGAATTGGCGTGGAGAAGAATGAAGATAAATTTGTTGAATGGCGTAAGAAGTAAGTTAATTTTTAATT